AAAAAATTAAAAATAATTACAAATCAATTTTTTTCATTTTAAAAAATAATGTAGAATGATACAATCATAAAAGAAAATGAGGAAAATAGGATTCTTAATCATATTAACCCTTAAAATTTGTGATCCATATTATTAGATTGAAAGCACAACAAATAAAAATACCATAAAACCCAATTCTGAAAAAAAAAAATCAAACATAAAAGGATGAGACCAAGAAAAAAATTAAACAGAAAAAACTGTAATTAAAAGAATGAGGGTCAAAATATAATTACCTTAAAGGCAAAGAAGTATTTTTGTTGTTTTAAAGTTTGTGAAAAGATGAAAAAAATCTTGGTCAATAGTTCTAAATTTTGTTAACTTCAGGGGTGAAAGCGTGATTTTAGCAAGCAATTTTTTTTTTTAAAGACTCAAATACCCCGACCCAAACAATTTTTTAATGATCAATGTGTCAAAGAATCTTTCCAACTCAAAAGTTTAAATTATTAAGTGAGATTCTAAGATATAATTTATATTATTTTCTAACAGATTTCCTCAAGTAAAAATTCTTTGGGCTTAAAACTTGCGCAGACTCATATTATCTTACACTTAATTTTTATTAAATAAATAGGAATGATGAAATTCGAACTCGTGGCTATTTGGTCATCAATGCTCTAATACCATATCAAAGAATCATCTCAACCTAATAACTTAATTAACTGTTAGGTGAGATCTCAAAATATGATTTATATTATTCTCTAACACAATAAAACACTGAAAAATACCAAATTACCTCCATAACCAAAACTATTATTTTTTTCATTTAAGAGAAAAATAATATTTTTAATTTAGCAATCCATAATAAACTAGAGTTTTGAAACTTGGCCTGATGGTCAATAAGGCCTGAGTCATAGGTTTCGCTCGAGTCACTGAGTTTTGACCGGGTTAATCCTATTTTTGTATATAAATCAAAATAACATCGTTTTAGTAAAAATAAAAAAAAATCAACAAGTTGCAATCGGGTTCTATTATGTCAAATGGGTCATTTTGGATTATGACTTCCTCTATTTTTTCTTAAACTCAATCCGGTTCTAGTCTCGGATCGATTTGCTGGCCGAGCCTGATTTAAAAACTATCCAACTATCTATTTCTATTGCCATGGTTAAAAACACACACGGTATGTATTTTTTTCAATGTATATAAATAATATCAACTATATATAAAGAATATTAACTTTGGCCGTGTAAAGACATTGGATGTGTTTGCTGCCTTTAGTCCCTGTTGATAAGAAGGGTCATGCAAGAATAATAAAAGAGCACAAAGAGAGTTTGTGAGCCGGCAAAAATAATACCTTTGTGTGGTTTTGAGTTATTTTTATAAAAAAACAATATATATGATATTTCTCTCTAAGAAAAACAATGTGATGTTATTCACTTCATATATATATATATATATAATTAAATTTATCAACTATATTTTCAGATGATAATGAATCCTTACTATATTCATATTGTAATTTATTAAAATTAATAAAAATACTAAACCTTGCTAAAAAATTAAAATCTCATATTGCAATTACTATAAATTTCCTCCATATTTTTATGCAATTAATTATTGATACAAAAACATTGCTTTTCATGCTTTCGAATACAATCTAATAGGTTTGTCTATTCTTTGCATATAATCCTTGTGAGGATATTTTACATAATTTTAGTATTTCTTCTGATATAAAGAACTAGATAAATTTTTTATATAATCACTAATTCTTTTCTTAAGAACATCTTTGCACAATACATACCAAGGCCAATTACAAGATATCATTTGGTTTTAGGTCTTGTTTGTTTTTGCATTTTAAAAGCGCTTTTGAAAAAATTTAAAAATTTTTTTATTTTTTATTAACTTTAAATTAATATTTTTTTAGTGTTTTCAAATTATTTTGATGTGCTGATGTCAAAAATAATTTTTAAAAAATAAAAAAATATCATTAGCATGTATTTTGACACGAAAAACTATTTAAAAAGCAACAACAACTATACTTACAAACAAGTCCAAAAAATGCTCATAAAAAGTGAATTAGTTTTTTGTAATTAATATGTATATTCGGATCAGTTTACATATAACTTGACTAATTTAACATATCATGAAATTAACAATCATATAAATCTTTGATGAATTAGTTTTTTAGATGGGCACGTGGATAACTTGCCACTTCTAATGATGTTTTAGTAATGAGTAAATTATTTATTTAGTCATTGAATTTCTTATAATTTTACAAATTAGTCTGATCAGTTGTGAAATCATAAGAACTCCCCTTGATCGAAATTCACTCTTAAATCTCAAACGAAACACTTGCTAGAGATGCTCTCCATTACAGAGCAACAAAGAGCCCATTGACTTTGATTACGTAAAGCTTGATATAGATGAACAGATGCCAATAAGATGGTCCCCTCCTGGATTTTATTGTTCTTACCAGACCAAAACTTGGGCGCCGACACTTGAAGTCGTGGCATTTTTGTTCTCTAGCTGCTGCTCTTTCTTGTCCCATTCTTATTTTGGGACTATCACCATTGTATGTTTCTTTCAAGCTTACGATGATGCTATGGTGTTGGATTTAAAACCATTATTAGCTCGGCAAGTTGACTCCAAATTAATAATATCCGACTTTAGGTTTAGAATTGTCTAAGTCAAAGAAAAAAATAGTCAATTAATTCAGTTAAAAACACAGATTAATTAACTAATTTTTTGTTATTTTTTTAATCTAGAATTAACTAGGTATCGAATCAACTCGTTAAACTAATATAATTTTTAAAACAATGGTTTAAGATATTTGCACGATTAACAATGAAAAATATTGATTTAGTTAGATAAATTTTAAGGGATAATTTAATTGATTAGATAATTATAAGTTTGAATTTTTTTATAATTATTAAAAATTTATATAATTATTAATTTTAAAATTTAATAAATTAGTTAACATATATATATATATATAAATTATCTCGAGTAACTGTATTAATAAATAAAATAAAAACCTTGATAAGATATTAATTTTATTTTTATTCCTAGTAGACGAACACTTGGGCGCCAACAGTTGAAGCTGTTAGAATTTTGTTCCCTGGCTGCTCTTTCTGATTGATACGAACATTTTCAAGTAGGTCCCATTGATAATGGTGGCACTATCATGATCATATATTCCAAGCTTACGTGGGATACCATAATGTTCGATTTAAAATTATTATTAAAAAATCTAGACTAGGACGAAGGGTTGGTATGAAATTTAAAACTTGGATTAATTGTAGTTAAAGAAAAATAAAAAATAAAAACTTAGTTAATCAGGCAAAAATTTAAACTTTAAATTATTAGTTTTTTATTAAAATAATATTATTTAAATTATTTTAAAAAATTATTTAATTCGTGACTAGTAACTACTGAATCCACATCCTAGCTATAGTAGCTATGTTTAAAACTCGTTAACAAATATAAAACTAAGAGATATATTTGTGTAATGGTTATAAGTCAATTTAATTGTCAATTTAACATATTAATTTATTTAACATTAATGTTTTTAGTTTTTTAGAATCCACAAAAAAAATAAAAAAAATAAAAAAAACTCTTTTTTTTCTTTCTCATAATATTATTCAATGCATACGTACATGCTTGCATGCTAAATTATTATCGGAATAATTGTTGGATAATAATACATTGAAGATATGCTTGTGTGCCTATATATGATTTCTAAAAGATTTTAAATTTTATGTTTTATTAATATATTAAAATAATATTTTTTATGCAGGAGCTATTTATCTATATATGTTTTGTTTTTTTCTTTTAATGAAGGATCTAATTATTGCTTCATTGTTTAGGTTTAATTTGATTTTTTTTATTTCACTATTTTTTTATTTTATTAATTTTATGAAAAGTTAAATTAATACTTAAAATTAATAAATGAGCAACCAAGTTTCCTTTTTCAATATGTAAAACAAGAGAAAATATTAGGAGATCTCCTAATAGTTTTCCCCAAATTCTTGCTAGTTAGCAACTGAAATTGAAAGTTTTTTTTTTTTACCTTTTAGTGGATTCATATTTCCTCCTATGTACTTTTTTATTATTTTAATTTGGACTGAAATTCTTATTTTTTTTACCAATGAAAGAAAAAATAATTTTCAAAACATAAAAAATGAAAAAAATTATTTTAAAAAAACTTAACAAAATTTGCAAAACCTATATTGTGGGAAAAAAAACTGAAAAACCTAAAAGAGTAAGAATGCGAGACATCCCAAAAACAATTAATATAACCCATAAAAAACATTGAAAAACTATTATCTTGCAAATTTTATTTCAATGCATAGCGATAGTTCATTCTACTCTTTTGCTTTTTAATCCATTTTCTTCCAAGTTAATTTTATTTTTTCTATGTTTTAAATTTTTTAATGTTTCCTTGGTTTTCAAGTTTTTTTTTAAAAAGTAAAAATAAAATTTTCAAATCCGTAGGAGATTTTCCAAAATGTCAATAAATACAAAGCATATTAAATTTAAAAAAATAATTTATTCAAGAACAAGTACAATATCCACGGTAGCATCACTATCTTATAATAAAAGAGGTAGAGATCATTGTGAGAACATAAACATGTTTTGTTAAAAAAACAAAAACAAAAATATAAGAATAAATTTGTCCATAAAAAGATTTCAAAGTGAGTTTTTATATTTTTTTGAATTAAAAACACCATTGTTTATATGGTCTTTTATATTCCGAGACAATAACCCAATATTATTTAAATAAAAATAAAAAATGGATCGCGTCACTAAAAAATGTAATGAAGCAACGAAGAAACAGCATTATTATTCCTTTCCCT